TGACAGAACCAGACGTGGACAAGGACGAGAACCACCCGGAACTCTTACGTGTAGTTGGCAGGAATGCAAAACCGTGCACCGACCTGGGGGACGCGTGGTGGTGGCTGTTACACTTGTTCTATGGACCCACGATGCTCCTCTCACGGGCTTGACTCGCAGGAGGAATGAGCACATGTTCGCACAAAGACGTGCGCGCGCTAGGCACAGAGCGGCCGCCTGACAGTGACCAGGGCTGGACACAGCCGAGATGTCCAGGAAAAGCTCCCTTCATGGGCTCACGATGAAGCCCCCTCAGCGATGGGGAGGAACGAACTGCCGAACCCCAGCAACACAGGCCGTCTCAGGGCACTGACCTGAGGGAGAGGAGCCAGGCACAGGGCAAATCTGTTTTCCTTTCATATAAAATTCCACAGCAGGCGGAGCGGTGACGAGCGGAAGAGGGAAGCTAAACCTGGGAAGGAAGTCGTGTGGCTGCCGGGGCTGGAAAGGGGACCTCCGATAGCAGTGCCCCACCTCCTGACCAGGCCTCCGTCACGCTGGTCTGTGCCTTTGTCCAGACCTTTTGGTCTCTAATTCAGGAGACACTTACCCCCCCGCCCCATGCAACTGCACCTCAGTAAACATCACTCACAGACTGCCAGCCAAAACCTCCCGCGAACGTGGAAATGGGAGAGATTCATACGCAACAGAGAGGCGTGGGAGTGGGCAGTGGGAGAAGTGGACAGGCGATGCTGGAAGGAAAACCGATCGTCTCATGTACGCACAGGAGAACACGTGAGAAAGACTGAAAATTAATTAGCCACGGGGTCACCTCTAGATGTTGGCTGAATAGAGTAAACCTCTTTTTCTAAAAAATGTTTTTATTGATTTTTAGAGAGAGGAAGGGAGAGGGATCAACAGAAACATCGATGAGAGAGGAACATTGACCGGCTGCCTGGTGCTGCACACACCCCTCCTGGGGACCGAGCCTGCAAGCCCGGCAGATGCCCAGCCCCAGAGCAGAACCAGCTGCCTACTGGGTCCTGGGCTGATGCTCAACCGCTGAGCCACACTGGCCGGGCTAGAGTAAACCTCTTTATTACTTTAAAAAATATGCTTGCTTCTCCTCGGTGCTCAGGCAAACTACTGATCTGAGACCACTTTGCTCTTGATGCTTGAGTTTTTGGGGTCTCCAATTTGGGGTACAGATCCATGGGGGGCTGGTTCCGGTCACGGCTTCCCGGAGAGAAGCCTCCCCCCCCCGACCCCCCCGCCAAGGGCTGTGTTGTCAGGGCAGCTTCCCTCACGTTCCCGTTGGTCAGGAAGGGCAGGCTTGCTCTCGCCTCACTCTTACCGTGAGGACACAGACACACACACAGAGAGACACACACAGAGACACACACAGACACACACA